AATTAACGTCTCCTGCCCCAACCTGCAGGAGACGGGACCTCCATTTATTCGTCCCTATCCGAGAAGACTAGAATATCTAACCATTTCTTGTTATAGAAAGGCAGCATATTCTTCTCAATTATTTTAAGACCTTGAGTGTTGGTCCGGCCGGGGCTCGAGCCCTCGACCTTCCGCACATCAGTCCAGCGCTCTATCCATTGAGCTAACATTGTTTAATAAAACTTTACAATCCACAGTTTCGCGTAATTTGGGGTCCAACCATTTCTTGATGTTATAGAAAGGTAGCAAATTCTTCTCAATTATTTTAAGGCCTTGAGTGTTGGTCCGGCCGGGGCTCGAGCCCTCGACCTCCCGCACTACAGTCCAGCGCTCTATCCATTGAGCTAACCGGGAGGCGGCAAAAGAGAATATGATCAAAAACGCGGCAAACGGACAACCGTGAATTTTCTTCTTTTTACATTTTCAAACAGCAGTAACAAAACCACCTAACTAATTATCAGTTGTAGCCGTTTAGATTACTAATGTCCTTCGTGCTTAATTACAGCGACTCGTCAGAATGAGAGAAAATAAAGTTGACTGAGGTAGTATACAACTCGAATTAACATGAATAAATGGGGTAGAGAAGTGAACATGTTCTGGACCATGCCAAACCCCCATCTCTAGGGACAATATAGACTTTTCCCTTTACAACACCCTGTCATACATCAGTATCAAAACCAACTGAATAAAGATTCGTTGTGGAAGATGCCAGCGTTCTCTGTGCTTATTCAGAGCGACTCATAGCAATTTAACCAAGTCGGATTTTTACCCGCAACCTTCCCCGGTTGTGGGGAAGGTTGCAGGTAAAAAGGTTGCGGGTCATCTTTTCATTGCCAGATGACCCGCTTGTTCCACTCTGCTCACTGGAAGCTACAAAGAGCACAAGTTCATCTTTCGAAATACTTTCGCTAAAGATAGTTTTTTTTGGCAACTTTGTATCCCAAGATCACGAAAGCACATATCCCCAAACTATGTAAAATTATAAATTGCTGGGAAATATAGGATTCAGTTTTCCCTCTAGATTTTAACTTGCTCGAAAATAAGATGGATGTTGTAAACTAAACGCATGCAGTGACTTACCCCTAAGTCTCTAAAACTCAACAGGATAGAGCTGCTCCAAAATTTTAAATCGTTACCAACGGATGGCAATGCATGACAAACATAGAAAGGTAGTATTTCAGACTTTAAGTAAGATCTTTGTTTATTATTTAGCGCTTTCCCAAGGGGAAATAAAGCCTTGTGGAAGAATTGCAGGTATTGAATGAAAGGCTATCGATCAAAAGCACAATGGTCATTTGTAAGCCATCTTCTATTGTAATGAGCTTAGTTCAAAAGATTCTGCAAGAATAAGAATTCATAGTTGTTTTTGACAATTTTAAAGTCAAATATTGTAATTCGTGAAGTCGATTAACATAATAACAACCTTTTATGTGAGGGCCGTACGTGAGGGCCGTACGTGAGGGCCGTACTTGAGGGCCGTACGTGAGGGCTGTACGTGATGGCCCGAACAGGGCCAGAAAAGGTGATCCCATGGAATACAAGCGAAAGCATAAAGGAAGAGGGGTGAGTGGTAATAAGCAAAGAATGCTTGATGGCTGAGTTTATGGGTTTGGCTGGATGAGAAAATATTTGGCTCTCACTCTTGACGTACTGACCGTCTTGCTCTTGATATACAGTCTTAGACCTCGAGCTACATATTGTCCCGTATATAAGTAGGAGTATGTAGTTGATATATTAAAGTACATAATTTGTTAGACTGCAAATCCTGCAAACCATGAAAATATTAACAAAATTCTATTGTAAGTAGCTGACTTAACCTCGAATCGCTTGATTACATCTCAGCTGCTCGCGTTGGATCTTTCGGCACGAAAACGTTTCAGAGTCATCAAAATTCAAGTGACTTTGAGGGGTAATTGTTTTTATGCTGAAACTGCGCAATGTAACATCTAAATTAAATTTAGCCATTTCTTCTAACGCTAAAAAAGCTCCATACAATTCCTTATAATAAAATTTTAAGAAATTGTATGGAGCTCTCCGAGATACTTACAGTGCAAGCCCTGTGTGTCTTCTCATGAATAAAAGGCTAAAAATTATTTTAAAAATGATCAGGTTTCTTCCACCTATCAGATATACACCTCCCATATGGTCTAGCGGTTAGGATTCCTGGTTTTCACCCAGGCGGCCCGGGTTCGACTCCCGGTATGGGAACGATTACTCTTTTTTTTTTTTCCCTTTCTTCTGTCTATGTCTATGTGGATTTTTTCCATATCACTTCATTTTGTCCGGGTTAATATCAATGATTCATTGATATGAATGTTATTATGTCAATTGCATCAATGGTATAATGTCAATTGCGTCATTACTAACATCATTACTACAATCTACCAACTCTTCTGGCAATCCCTGCTAATGCCACTGCAATTGCCGTTCTATGCCACCTTTTGCTTTTTAGCTTCGATATGACAATGGCAGCATTGCTGATGCCATTGAAATTCTGGTCACTGCAAGATGTCATTATTGTCAATATCGATGGCACTGGCGATCACCAATGTTGATGCTGGTTCCGCAATTGTCAGTGTTGAAGTTGCAAGCAATTTCACAGCATCACCCCCGCTGATTCCAAGACCACTGCAGTCGGTTACATTGTCAACGCTTGTACTTGGTAAGTCAATATCACTGGTATCATTTCTAATACCGTTAGTACCATTGTCTATTTCACTGCCGCCGATCTCGAGGACACTGCAATCAGTTGCATTATTGCCAACGCTGGTGTATGAAATGTCAATATCACTGGTTTCATTCCTGACGCCATTAACATCGATCGAAACAGCGCAGATGTCTCTGCCACCTGTGTCAATACTATTGCAATCACTGGCATCGCTATTGCAAGCAGTGTTACTCCCATTTGCATCATTACCGATACCGTTGCCTTCATTTTCAGTGGGGTTATTGCCGTAATTATTTTCGATGCTGTCGCCACTGCGGGTGCAAGCGTTCTCGACGTCATTGCCGTCATTATGGTGCCCAACGCCAAGACTGTTGATGTTATTGCCGTCATAGTCAGTGTTATTGGCATTATTCTCAGTGCCGCTGACATTATCCTCAAAGGGATTGTAAGTAATATCAATGCCGTTGGCATCAATGCCGATATCATTACCATCATTGTCGATGCCATTGTCATTGCGGGTAATTGCAAAGCCGTAATTTGCAACATTATATCCTCTGTCATTACCTGGATATGGTGGGGGAGGTTCTCCAACGTATGACGAATATGGTGTTTCAAGCTGCACCTGTAGGGGCGGGATGCGTTCTGAGAAAGTGGTCGAAACGAATCCTGGGTAATGTTCACGAGAGGCCCTGGCAGAATGTTGCCCGCCGGCTATGTTCACTGTCATCGCCGTTGTATGTTCTTGCCGTAGGCCGCCAAAAATATATTTTCGATCCTTACAGCATAAGACTAGGAAGATTAAGCCACCGACAACAAAAACGGCAAGAAAAAAGAATCCAATGAATGAACTCGCGTTGAACGCTGAAAATTACAGAACAGAATTGTAACTTGAAGTTTTTGATAAATCTAATAAGTATTATGAACTTTATCTGTCTTAGTTAGCCAGCCAACAACAAAATGAGAAAAATCAACAACTTGCCGAGGTTTTGTATGTTATAAACTCTCGCTCCACAAACAAAATGCCCTACCTTTATTGGTGTATTGGCGATCATCATTTGCAATAAAGCATAATTTATATAACACTTTCGTACTTTTTGTTCATCTGTCTGTCTGTTCGCTGGCCTTTAATTGTCTCGCTTATTTCTGCACCAAACATTTGTGTGGGCTACTTTCATTGTCTTTTGTCCCATATTAATTTATTTTACAGTCTCTTTTTTTGTTTGATATTGATCCAAGTTTGATATTTGTATAAAATAATTAATTGAACCAGTTAAAGACAAAGTTGAACTGATAATCTACTGAACACTGTGGCCAAGTTACCTTCCACTTCCTGCAGTAGAGACAGCAAGACTGTGGAATAAAGCATATAATAAAAACCATAATTTTTCTATTAGTTTAGATACGAATTTCGTCATAAAGCTTTACTCTGGTCAACAACAATAATTCGTTTCGACAATACTACTTTGTTTACAGCTGTCGCTGGGAAATGCGATAAACTGCATTTATTAAATGTTCATTATTGTAAGTTATGTTTATGACTTACTCCATAAGAGATTTTAAATTAACGGAAATATTCTGTTGTCTGACAGTTTTTTCCCCACGAAAAGAATAGCTGAGGATCAAGGAGTCTAAAATGGTCATCTCGTGCTTCTCTTTCCCCATTATTCCTCAAGGAAAGCCGTAAGCGTGATTTGAACGGGAAAATAAAAATTTATGACGGATGGATGTGGGGAAGCAAAAAAACACTAATTGCTTCATAGCACCGAACGATTGAGCAAGCCTTTATGCGAACACTTTCACGATTTGAAGCAAGCATAGATCTCACTTACCTATGAAGATATGGCTTTGAAAATACGTCTTCATTTTTCAAACTCTATAAGTAGAATTTCCTTTTTAAAATATACTGACGGACAAAAAGTTTCTGAATTACTCCCCACTGAGGTTTCTCATAGATTTTATTCTATGATGACGAAAGTACAGAAAACCCAATCAATCGTCCGAATTCTAGGCTACTGTTGTGCTATTGACTGCTTTGTTTTGGTTCTCTTATCACAAGGTATACATCACCTTTGATATGGATTCGGCAGAAATCCCCAATAACACAGCTTCACTAATTTACGCTCCACATACATGAATTATTAAGTGTGATTATTGTTTCCTAATCAAATCAGAAGTGAATCATTCTTTAAGGGTGTCATTAAGAAAGCCATGGCTAAAAATTTTCAAGGATTGTGGTAAAATTTTACGAATCGACGAAGTGGGCCTTTGAGACCAATTGGTATCCTAAAGAGGATAAGTTCTCCAAACCTGTGAACTTGATTTAGTAGTTATTAATGTGTTTCCTCGGTCGAATACGCTTTGAGTAATGAGTGCAATGCATCGGGAAAAGGTAAAGATTTTCTTTTGTATAATTATGTTTTCACAGTGTTGAAGGTTTAACTGACAGGGGTTGAAGAAGCCCTGGAATACTGTTTATGCAACATTACCCCTCCCCCCTCAAAAACGTTGCAACTCCAAATCTTCTAGAGCTGAATACAGAATTAAATAATGTTCCGTAACTTTCAGAAGTAGACATCAGAATTTCAGCTCTATTGCTGAAACAATTGCAATGCTATTTGTAGTTGTAACGAAATCGTTCCGTTTAAGAGGGATAAATGAAATGGTAAAATGATCCCAGAATTAATCACAACTTTATTTTGCGAACTGCGCCCGAAAAGCCATTAAGCCCAAGTACTTTTGTGGATGTGCTTATTTCTGTTGGTCTGGATGTGTTTATTTCTCTTGGTCTATCAAGCAGCGCGGATTTTCAGCGCAATACTGTCACGCATATTTGTCAACAGCAGTAGAAAAACAATGGACGGATTCGGTTGACATGTTTACCTTAGGAAGGGTACATTTGCACAATTTGTCACATGCAGCAAGAGTTTTCACGTATCAAGATGGAAGTTCGCTAGCAGCATCCGTCTATTATCATTACTGAAATCGTCAGCACTTTCTTTTTTGATTTGTATTTCCTTAAACTCCATCTATTTATTTTTTCCATATATTTTAAAATAATCAATTATGATTTTATCTTACTTCAGGTATTCTTAATCTTTTGAACTGAAACTGGAACTCTTTCTTTACATGCAGTCTTTAAACAGTTTATCTCTTTGTTCTTGATAGAGAAATAAAAAGAAAATGAAAGAATAAAAAAAATTATGTAGGGCAGTCTACATCGATACTGAAACGACATTTATCACTCTAAGAGAATGGAAAAAAAATATTTATTGTCACATTTACTGTTGTGTCTTCACTCGAAAAGCGACTCTAAACTTTTAAGATACGACCTTTAATACACAACGATTAAACTAAAACTGACCAGCAACTTACAACACATGCGGTTAAAAACAAAAATGCTAATAAGTTCATTACAGTTCTGGGTTACGAAACTCCCGCGGGTTTTTAAGCAAATTAACATAACATTTACATCATCCAGTAAGTAAACACTGGTTTTTAACAAAGTTCTTGCTTCTTATTTGTTCACAAAAGTTCACAAAAGTTCACGAAGACAGGATATTTAAACATAGTTTGGCAGTTTGCTCAAATGGGAATAGCAGACTTCCTGGGATACGTCCGCTTGAAGCACATCCTAAATCCAACTAATGCTGTTTTTGCTGGATTGAATCAGAAGCCAGTGGTGCGAATAAAAACTACTCACTCACTGATCGCTCCTCCGAGCTGGTTGCTAACAATTATTGTGAGCCATAAACTATTTTCTGCATTATCAAAATACGATTTCAAGTAGTGAAAAGTCAAGAATTCAGGGGAACGCTGGGTTTAGCAGTTCTCTTGGGTCTGCTTTACGCCTAATCATTTTAATTCCTTTACGCTTCATAGCTTTGCTTAGTGGCCTACTGCACTTTGACAGGTACGGTCGCATCATGATTAGAAGGTAAATAAAGCTGAAATCAAGGTTGACAGCTCATAGAGCTCAAGCATTGAAAAAGAAAAAGTGGTTGGATAAACAAAGCTCTCACACAGCGAACAATGAAAAAAGCGTCATGTAAACAAAGCACGAATTAACTATGTAAAATCAATAAAGGTACCTTCAACTTCTTGCAAGAGGCATAGAAACACTGGAAAAAAAACAAAACAAACAAAGTACGTTATTTTTTTAGTGCTTTATCGGCCCGTGAGTTTTCACTTAAAAAAAGTATGATATTTCCTTGTTACACTCTTAATCGAAATCAGTGTAGGGTGCGTCAAAAATGTATACTTTTTCGGATATTTGAGCCTCAAAAGTGCCTGAGAGTAGGTCTGTATGATTGGTTGCGACATGCGCAACTTGTTCAGTGAAGCATGTCGATGTGGTAGACTGACTAATAACCGACTGCTCAATTTTCCAAAGTTAACTTCTGCTCGGATATGTTCTAGCTTCGAAGAGAAATGATCCTTATAAAACTCCTGAGAGCCGTTTGCAGCTTTGCTGTTCACAGCATCCTGTCAAAGTTAGTCATGAACTGCCTCAGTATCAAAGGAATTCAGTTGATGCACGACAACTAACGCGTTTGTGCATAACACATCACAGTTTCGGAAAGACATCAATAATGATCCTGAGCAGTTTGAATATTAGGTACTTGAAAGGCAGCTAAGCTTTATTTGATGGAACGCTAATTTCTAATCAATTCATAGCGCAATAAGAGCAAGCAAAACATACAGGAATTAAGACTTTTATAGGAAGTGGTGCGAGCCGCTGAAGAAAACAGAACGTGACGAAGCGACAAGGAAGTTATGTAGAATTTTTACTCGCCAACTGCCTCGTAAATGAAAAAAAAAATCCCACTTAGAATATAGTGAGCGCAAGTCATCTCAGCTTCATATGACAACGTAGATAAATAACTAATGGCAGCATGCCTACGCGCGTAGGTTTCTTCCACTGTACGTGATCATTGTTGGCTAGACTAACGCCTAACTAGCAGGGGACCTCACGCAGTCGAGACGACAACACCGAGGAAAAGTCGAATTAATAATGAATTTATACTTTTGCTAGGATTTCGCGAATGATTGGCTGTGTTAACCATCTCTTAAGGCGCCGCTTCTTAACTTCAACATAACTTACGTGGGCTGTATGGAGTTCTAAGTTAGTGGAAACTTAAATAATATTTCGTTGGAGTTTTCGTTCTCAGATCACGTACATTTTGCAATTGTTGTTTGTAGAGGACGGCTAAGAAATGCACAAAGTTCTCAAAAACACAAGCTGAGCTATTATTCTGCCCATTCTGCCTCGTCCTCTTTGTCGTCTTTATTTGTTGAATGTCCCTGAAGACTAACCAAGCTAACTAAAACCTGCATACACCTCATGATATTGCTGTTGTTATCAATCGCATCCCCAAGCACATTTAGTAACGACACGCTAAGATGAAGAATCTTTACCTGAACAAATGAGATACATAGAGAGTTTCATCGCGTCAATTTGAGCCAAAGATCGCTGGTTAAACAGACGTGCGGGTTTTGATACCTTCAGCAATGATTATGTGTCTATCACGGAAGCGTCATTATAATCACGTGACCTCGTGGGGTTCAGCTAATTAGGAAGTGAAGAGCAAGTTATTGTTTCTTGCGTGCGATAACTACTACCGTTTAGAAAACTTCCGCATGGCATTACCATAATCAGAAGTAACGAAAGCTAGAAGTACAAACTTTTTGTTTATTCCAGAGGCGCTACTAAGTGGTTTCCATCATTTA